AGGTTACTATTGTTATTGGTTGTCATTCAACTAATTCTTTAAATATTTTTGAAATGTAAATTTAAAAACTAATATTCATGTTTTCTATACAGAACACATTTTTATCGATCCATAGTATATAGAACATGAATTGAATTACGTTTGATTTTTACAAACAGTTCAATTTTCAAATATTTTTTTTGATACTTAAAGATCCGCTCTATTTAATACAAGAAATCTATTATTTATTCCTAAAATATGCCTTGTAATTCAAAAACGGATACAAAACAAACGCACTCTTCATTTCTCGAAAAATTGCATGTTCATTTAAAACAATTATGCTTCGTTAAACACGACTATAAGTCAATATAATTAGAAATACGATTGAACAGTGCTTTCTAATTATTCATATTTGTACTAATTTTATTACTATCACGCATGAAAATTTTGAAAGCAGAAAATACTTAAATATTTAATTAATCATTAGATAATATTAAAATTAATTTTGTTATTCAATATTTAAAATAGATGCTTTAAAGTTAAAGAGCATTTTGTCGATCACTTTCACTCCTATCAATTCTTTTGAAAACATGAAACTTTGATTATTCTAAACAAAAATAATTTAATTCAACTTCTGTTATCATTATTATCGAATAATGAGTAGTTTATTATTGATTTTTTTTTACTTGCCTTTCTTAGGGTAAAAAATAGGAAAGGAAGTTTTGTATATATCTTTTGTTTTAAGGCCTTCTGAACATTTGGCAAACCTTAGAAAATGAATATATGTATGTGTCTTAATTATCAATTAATTAATTAATTTATCACTTTTAAGGTATCTATTGGCGGCACCAAGTTATCAGCTGGACCACTGATAGCCAAGGTGTATGACGCAGGTTTAATTCAAGTAGCAGATGTTAGTGGTGGTGTGGTTCGGACAACCTTGTCAATTTAGAGGTAAAACATATTTTGTTTTATTTACATTACAATATTGTATAAAACTTATTATTAGCATGGATACGTATAAATTATTTTTTAAGTTATGAATTAAGTTGGTCTAATAATTTTGCAGTTGATGCAAGTGCTGCTGGTGAAGGTCAGTTAGAAATCTCGATCAATGAAGGGGAAGTTCCAAATCATGTACAGGTAATTATTTCTTAATTAGTTTAAATTTGGTTAATTATTTACATAACATATTATTAATAAAAAAAAAAACGTTACGTATTATGTTACCAGTACAAAATTATTTTTTTAGGTCGTTGGTGGTGGTAGATGTTTAGTATCTTTCACGCCGGATCAAGCAAAACCACACTTAATTGATATTAAATTCAATGGAGAAACTGTGCAAGGATGTCCTTTTGTATGTGCCATAGCTGATACGAGCCGAGTTTCGTTGAATCTGTCGAATTTGGGTGAGAAAACTTATTATTGAACCAAAAAATGCTAAATTCAATCATACAAGTATATATAAACCTGAAAATATACTAAATTAGAAATACTGTATAAAAGCAGGATTTGGGAATAACTGTTTTCAGCATTTTGCTATAAAACATTTTTTTTATCGAAGACAAAATAGAATCGTTACCAAGTGTATTAATTTGCTATTAAATATTTGAATAGCTCGTTATTAACATCCCGTAGAGTAAGTTATAGTAATGGGCCTAAAATCGAAAATGAAATTTTTTGCATATTTTCATGTTTGAGAGGTTTCTGAAAATTTTGGTCGACCTCAGAAAAAATGATTGTGCGTGTATGTGTGGAGACAATTTTTTGGGCGTATTGATGAACCAATTTGAAAAATTGAAAAAACAATTAACTACTATCGATAGGGAGATGTGCTGATTAGTTTTTTTGGCGAGGCGGGTCCGGCAACTTTGGAGATATACAGCAAATAGTGATAAAAATGTCCGTTTTTAAGAGAACGGATCAACCGATTTGAATGATCCAAATAGTATTCGATTCGTAATGATGGCGAAAAGTGGTGATTAGATTTTGGAAAAGGCAGGTCTAGCCGTTTCGGATGTACAAAGCTAAATGTGCAAAAAATGGCAGTTTTTGAGAGAACTAAGCACTTTTTTTGAATATAGAAAAATAATTCAGATTTTAATTCTAATTCTAGTTAAAGTTCTAAACATCACTTATAATACTTCAAATAATTAGTAATCTATTTGAAAATATTCAATATTCATCGAGTATTTCATTAAGGTACGGAAAATTTCAGCAATTTGCCTTAAAGCACAATGCCATACACCACCAGTTATCTAATACTATTGCAATTAATAAACTAGTGGGGTGTATGGCATCGTGCCTTAAGGCAAATTGCTGGAACTTCCCGTACCGTAACGAAATGTTCGAGGAATACTGAATGTTTTCAAATAGATTATTATTAATATTGTAACATTGTCTAATATTTATAGGAATTATATAAACTGAATTGCAAAGTTGAAATTATTTGTTTAAAGTATATTAGAACTATAGTCAGAATTAAAAATAAAATCTGAATTATTTTCGAAATACAAAAAAAAAAAATTTTTGAAAAAAAAAGTTGAAACAAAATTTTTTTTCCAAAATCAATTATTTTGTTAAGACAAGCAGAAAGTTCTTTGAATCATTTAAATCGGACGCTTAATTCTCTCAAAAACTGCCATTTTTTACACATTTAGCTCCGTATCTTCGAAATGGCTGGGCCTGTCTTTGCCAAAAACTAACAAACACTTTTCCCAATCATTACTAATTGAATGTTTTTAGATCATTCAAATCGGATGCTCCGTTCACTCAAAAACTCGATTTCTATTTTCTGCACTCTCTGCTCCGTACCTCCGTAACGGCTGGACCTGCCTTTGCCAAAAACTAATCAGCACATCTCCCTATCAATAGTAATCGAATGTTTTTTGAACCATTCAAATCGGTTGATCGGTGACTGGGAATTTGTAACACACATACATTTTTTCTGAGGTATGCCAAAATGTTCAGAAACCTTCAAAACGTCGAGAAATGTAAAAATTTTCAATTTTGATTTTCGGCCCATTACAATAACTTACCCTACGGGAAGTTAATAATATTTTTAAAATATAATACATTTCATAATGCATTTTTTATATTGTTCTAGAATTAATCCCTGTCGGACAACCCTCCAACTTCCACATGTCGGTGAGCGGCGGCGGTGCAGCTGAGCTGGCCGTGTCAGTGCGAGGACCTGCCGGGGAGCTTCCGGTGAAGGTGACTGGGGATATTCACGCTGGATTTACTGCTGAATTTACACCGCATTCTGTTGGACCTCACACTATAGGTGTGGATTATAATGGATATCCTGTCCAGGTATTTTAAACACCGTTTCATCGAAGGTTTATACAAAAACCGACATTTCAGAAAACCGGTTTTCGAATTTTAATTTTACTAAAAAACCGGTTTTAACCGGTTTTTGAATTTTATATAGAAAATAAATTTTTGCTCGAACATTCTGTAATTTATCTGCAAATTTAGTGTGATTTAGAGCAGTATTTGACTGAACTTATTTATTGTTCAATTTTATAGATAGTAAATAAAATTATTTTAATTTCAATTAGTAGAACTAAAAAATAATAGTTTATCTTGATTAAATAACTTTGAAAAGAATTATTCGTTACTCATGCATCATTTTCACATATAATAATGAAAATATTTTTATGATAGTGAAAGGAAAGTTTTCGAATAAATAAAAATAATAGATTAATAAATAACAAAAAATCATTAACTTAAAAAATAAAAAAAATATTAGATACATACTTGTTAATATCAATTTTAGTTTTAAAAACAATTAAACTAAACTCTGGTATTGTCTGTTTCGAGCAATTTAATTAATTAATTTAAACATTGTAATTGTTTTTTTTTTAATAAGATATGATTCAAAAAAAACTTAGAACGTCTATCGAATTGCTACTTCGACAAAATTTCCTGAAATAGAAAATACTCCTCTCATACTTGCGACCAAATTATGCTTAATTGTTTTTAAAGCCAGGAATAATAATTCTAAGTTTTTTGTTATTTAATTTGTGGCTTCTAGGGTTTAAAACACTTTTTTTTAAGTTTGAGTAGAGAAAGTTACTTTTTCAAGAAGAAGGCACACTGATTTAAATTAATATATACACTGGTATAAAAATCTAAATTAATGTATACAAAACCTTTCTGGGAATTATTGCAGACTGATAAGATATCAAATGCTATTGAACCGATATGATTTCAAGAATCAAAACGCTTTCATCTATCTTTCATATTTGGCTATATTTGTCGTTTTCCATTTATACTGTGAAAACCGACTTTTTTCACTAAAAACCGGTTTCGATTCCATAATTTTCGCCAAAAAAACGGGTTTTTAAAACTGTTTTTTTTTTCATAGTATATTTCAACAATCAAATTATAAATACAATCTATCAGCTGAAAGTATGTTGAAAATCAAATCAAAGGGGAAAAAATTAAGAAAATATAAAGATTAAATAAATGAAAATTGTATTAATATTCTTTAAATAGGGAACGCCATTTTTTTGGCTAAAGCTTATGACAGTACAGTGTTGGGCCTGTCTAGAGGTAGTAGTAGGAAGACCTTTGCAATTTACAGTTGATGCTGGTGATGCCGGGTGAAGGTAATCTGGAAATAACAATATCTGCACGAGGACACAACACTACCAACTCACCCCAGTTCACATAACAGGTAAAAAATTTTAATCAACTTGTCAAGATACTCAATTATTTGAAAATATTGATCATTAATAAATTAATATAGGGTTAACGCAGGTTTTTCGTAAGTTTGTTCCTGCAGAAGTTTTGTTCATGTTTGTGTTCATTAACAAAGTAAGTTGATATGATTTATTAATTTCTAATGGGTTTGTTGAAACTTTTGATTAAATTTTATTAAATCTAAATCCACCGTATTAGGCGCTTTATTAAAATACTTCTTCGTTTAGTACAACTTTTAAATATCTTCTATCGTTAAAAAGCCCTTGTTGAGTATGCTTAAATACGTAGTTACGTAGTATGATTCTCTCTAGATGTCCGTTCCTGGTTGTCCAATAAGCGTTTCCGTTGGTGGAGGTCTAGGCGGCCCTCAAGTTTCATTACCAGGTCCTGGACCTATACACAAACCATCTAGCCTGTTGATCAATCATTCAGGTGGTCGCCTAGAAGACGTTGAAGTCAATGTGGAAGGTATCGTATCAAAATCCACTTTGTGTAATAACATATTTCAAATTAAGTTCCGTGTTCCCCTAACCAACAAATTCACTCTATTAGAAAATCTGTACCAAATTCATACTTATGTATGATATGATTTCCTTTTTATTTTCAAGTTTTAATCAGGCGTGCACAATGTATATTTGTTTATTTTCTGCACTTATATGTTTGTCGTCTCCGCACATAATTTATCATATAATTCATAGATTTATATTTAAGGTTATGTGTATATCTATGTTGTAAAGGGAAAGCGTGCATGAAATGATTTTTATATGCACTTTTGATTATTTTAAGAGTGCATGAATTTAAATTAGTTTCCATATATTTTTTTATTAGACAAATAGTCATCACAAGGCTATCACTTCTTGTGAGATAAATTAAATGCACTGTGAAGATATTGTATACACATCAAAAATGGCATGTTTGACTTTAAAAATTAGCGTAATCAATAATCAAAAGTGCATTATTATAAGGGGATATAAACAATCATTTTCTCGACTTTGGTTCGTATTTGCATTTTGTATTTCTTCCTCACCACTTACATCGCATTTCACGTAAATGTTCTTAAGTTAATTAGTTTAAAACTAGTGTTCTGTATATCTTTACAGGAAGACGAAGACTTTTGTACTGACAACTTTTATAAAATTTAACTTACAAACGAATGTAACTACTGACGACTTACTGACGCACACAAATAAACGGTTTTACTAAAAACGTCAGTTTATAGTCAGTAATAATATTAAGCATGTTGCATAAGATGCTAAAATACTAACATATCACAAGCAATCTAAAAACTTGCAATCAATAAGATATTGCTGAAAATTTTGTAAAAATAGGTTAATAAGCTTTCAATATAGGATACCTGTATTCGTTTAACATATGTAATAAGAAACTTATATAAAAAAGAAACTTATTATTCGTAAATATTCATATAATTAATTAGTATTTTAATTTAATATTAATCATTTAATAACGTTTATTTTAGGTAAGTTTGCTACTTGAGCGAGAATATAAATTTTTGCCATAATTAATCTTGTTGAAACAACGTCGATTGCCATAAATTTTTGTTATTACTAATTTCGCCATATTTTGCCATATATTTTTCCTATTATGGGTACTTAATGACGAATAAAATAAAACATTTTTTTGAAAAGCAGACTTATTGCACTGCAAGCAAATCTTAATGGTATTTAAATAACTAATATAAAATATGCATGATAAAAATATGATTGCAAAATTTAAGTATATTTATTTATTTTTATACTTTAATAGTTTAGATTAAGTGTATTAGATTTAAGCTTATTTTGCATGGATTTCTGGGAATAAATTTATAGCTCTTGCATGTTACCATTTATAATCATAATATAATCATATTGCTTGATGGAAGCTGAAGTATACAAACAACTTCACTAGTAAAAATCAGTAGTTTTTAAAAGCTAATATGACATGTCCAATGGATTACTTTAAATCATTATTATATAAGTGAAATATATAATAAAGTTTATTCATTTCTTTTAGATCCTACTGATTTTTTGCATCTTGAGTTTGGCAACAACATATTTGTGTGTCTACAATCATTTCTTTTTCGCTATCATACACAATTAGTATCATAAAATTACTTATTAATCAATACTTTTAAATAAATCATATCTAATAATTAATTATAAACCAGACAATATATTACCTTTTAAAATGATCCTTTGCCATTATTTTATCCCACCTTACTCTATGCTTCCCAAAACACGGACAATACAATTATTATATCTGGGCATGACTTGACCATGAACGCAGGGCCAAACGGACAGTCGGTACCCACGCAGGTACAACAGACCGCCGACGGCGTATTCAGGGCCGAATTCGTACCGAGGGCGGTAGGAGAACACCGAATCACGGTCTCGGTGCAAGGGCAGCCTACTGCGGGAAGCCCGTATGCCGCTAAGGTAAGTAACACAAACTAGTTGTCAGTAGCATTTTGCTTTAAGGGGTATTCTAGTGTAGAAATTCAAAAAACATCGAATTTTTTTTAATTCATATTTTCGGAAATATAGGCATTTTACGGACTCGGTCTTCATACTGGTTTGGCTTCACGCAAAACTTTAAATGCGTTTTTCTCAGAACAGACTTTTTCAGTACTGTTGACACAATTTCTCGAGTTTTAATCGACCGATTCACTTGAAATGTTCAGAAAGTTTTGTTTATAGACCTATCTATAGCCCAAACTAGGATTATCCCCAAATTCCTCCCTTTACTATTTTTAAAAAATTCAAGAAACTCAAAAAACAGTAAATATAACACTTTTTTTTCGAACAGTCGCCAATTTGTAAAAAAAAAAATTTTTACTCATCGCTAGTTCGGGCGATTGCGACATCCTTGTAGCTTAATAATCTTTTTATTTTTTGCATTTCCGACGGCTAGGAGGGCTGAAATCATGTCAAGACTGAGGTGCCAATTTTTTGAGACCACCCACTTCATCAGCTGCCAGTTTTTACAATTTTTAACTTTATTTTTTTTATTTTTGTTTTTGTATTTTAATAATATTAATAAACAAGTGTTAAAAATGGATATTAAAAACATTCATTGCTTTCTTTTACGAACAAAAAATTCATCGCTCTCTTAAACTTTTTCTCGAAACTAAAAATACGGTGCGGGATGGGGGGGCTTGGTTAATATTGAATATCTCCGCGTATCACCAAAGCGGAGGGGGATCCAAAAATCATTAAAAAAAATCGATCACGTGATTAATGAACGCCCGCTAAGGTGATCATACGTCCCGGTTTGGCCGGGACAGTCCTGGTTTTCTACCTTGTGTCCTGGGTTTTTTTAAGAGCATTATTTTTCCCAAATTAAGATTTTTTGTCTCGGATTGTCCCGTGTTTTTGAAAAGTATAGGCTTAAATTGAATCTTCGCTCTCATTTGATAATTACAACTATTCATCAAATATCTGAAATTGTGCCATCTGAAAGTGTTATGCGCAAAGAAAATGCGGAATGAAAAAAAAAATGCTGAATACAAAATTCTAAATGCGGGTTACAATAGCCTTTTACCTTAATAATCTCTACACTCCGACAACTTTTTGACTGCTGCCTGGCATGAGTCATTTTTTTTGGAGATAATTATAAAGAAAGAAAAACAGAATTTTATAGAAAGTTTGAAAGCGAAAAATATAACATATAATTGAATATTAAAGTTCTCCAAAAGGTCAGTGATTTTGATTAAAAATTGAATTGAAAAAAATTAGTTTACAATTTTCAAAGTTAGGAGTTGATGAAGTGGATCGTCTCAAAAATGGTTATGCTCACAATTGCAATCCCCATAGTAATCTGAATTAAAAAAAAAACAAATACTAATCCAGAATATTGCCGCTAAGATATATATATATATATATATATATATATATATAATATATCCAGAAACTCGAAAAGTGATAAAAGTGATAAAACGGGTCTCTTTTTTATAGTCTAGTATATATATACTACCAACAAGTTAAGTTTTTTCTATTAAAATGGCGACAGGTTGAAAAAAGAGACCCGTTTTATCACTTTTTGAGTTTCTGGATATTTTAAACAAAATTTTGAGATTAGTTTAGTATATATCAGAGAGTCTATATGATTGAATATGATTTTCTGAAAATTTCAAGTAAATTGGTCTAGTAAAACTCAAAAAATCGTGGGCATCGTATTGAAACAGACTCTATTGAGAAAAACAGATTATCATCAGGTTATATAAATCCTCTATTTTTTTTATAATCTGTATAAAATTGATAAGCAAACTAAGTGAACTTAATACATCATTTTCATACGAATATATTTTGTTGATTAATAATACAGGTTTATGATGTGAACGCAATTCGTGTGAAAGAAGTCAGCTCTGGTACTGTAGGAAAGCCCGTCACTTTTCTAGGTAACTATTATTGAAGCAAATCTAATTACTGACGCAAATGATTATTTTAAGATTAAATTAATGTAACTAATGTACATTTGCAGTTGAAACATCCCAAGCTGGCCCTGGAAATTTGGAAGTGACCGTAAATGGCGGTCGTGTGCCAACATCGGCACAAGCCCAAGGACAACACACTTACGCAATTAGTTTTACACCGAGGGAACCGACTGAACATACTGTTGATTTGCGCTTCAATGGACAAGATGTACCTGGTATATAACATGCATGCATGTGATATAAATAACAGCCATATCATAAAGATTTGTAATTAAATTATTTAACTATAATAGGAAGTCCATTTTCATGCCGAGTTTGCGCCGCAGCTCGTGTAATTGCCCCTGAACTTCTGGAAAAAGTATCTGTGGGTCGCTTGTTTTTGTTTTTGGTTGAGAGTGAAGCACCTCCAAATGTTGAAGTACTTGGACCGGCTAGAAGGCCTCTGCAAGCTACTGTTTCGCCAGTAGCGGGGGGCTCGGCTGATGGGGCTTCTGGCGATGGCAAATTCAGTGTAAAATTTATACCAGTAGATGTTGGTGATCATAGTGTTGAAGTAAGACTTTTAATGACTTGTACAAATACCAATTACTTACTTATACCATCTAAATATTGATAATTTTTCTTCAAAATGAATACTTAAGTATATCAAAAGTATTTTACTATAACTATCGTTAATGGAGTATTTTAATATAGCACTTGTCTATGTAAGTTTAATCACCTGCAGTAAAATTTATTTAAAATTTGAAGGTACGTTTACAGGCGGCCATGTAGAGGGTAGTCCTTTTCTAGTAAAAGCTTATTTGCTGAGCGCGCGCGTAACAGTAACAGACATATCCCCTGGAACAGTAGGAAAACCAGTCAGTTTCAGCATCAATGCAAGTCAAGCAGGTTGCCGGAAACCTTGAGATCATAGTTGCAGTTGCCGGAAAATGTACCAAACTATGTGCAAAGTGAAGGCAATGCAAGATTCAAGGTGACTGAAAATCGCAGCCTATATAAATAATATAATCTGATCGTCTTATTTTATTACTAACATTTTAATTCTAATGTAATGCGTTTTTACCCGTAGGTGAATTTCAAACCTACTGAAGCAGCAACACATTCATTATCTGTTAGATTTAATGGTTTGGCCGTTCCTGGATCACCGTTCAGTTGCATAGTGTCACCTGCTTTAGGCCCAGGAACGGCTACAGTTACTGGACCAGGAGTAAAGTTGGCGGCTCTTGGTGAAGAAGCACGAATATTATTAGATGGTTTCACAGGTTAATTTTTCTTATTGAATATTTTTTATTAGAAATTTTGTGGTTTCCAAACCTTATTAAAAGTATTGATACATTTAATTCCTTAAGTAATCCATTTTTTTTTCTCTTACAGTATACATGTTACCGTAAAAGCATGACTAAATTTACCTTTCATTCTAGGTCCAGAGCCTCAAGTCAGCGTGACCTCACCGTCAGGCGCCATTCTTCGGAGTTCTGTGCGCCCAACTGATTCAAGTGGCCAATACACCGCTATATTTCGACCTGATGCGGTTGGACGTCACTCTGTGGCAGTGGTTACATGGCGGGTGGTGACATGCAGCATGTGGCGGGTTCACCTTTTAGCTGTAACGTCTATGATGTGCGCAGAGTTCACGTTAGAGGGCTTGAGGCGGTGGGTCCTGGAGGTAAATGATAAATAAAATTCAGATCTCTACAAATATTCGACATGAGACATAGTTAATTTCTGGATTGACATTATAAATATACGGATAATAATAAAAATAAAACTAACCCTCCGTCGGGGTTTAGTCGAAAAATCTTGTAATTTTCAACTAGTGTTCAAAATTATAATTTTTATACTAGTTAATTAATTCTATTACCAGGTGCTGCAGTCGCCGAAGTGGG